ATGTTGCTGTTTCAACGAGTAACTTCTTATCACACAAGAGCAGATACTCAAACCAAAAGAAACAACGAATTAACGTTATTGAATACAAAACGTATTCAAGTGTCCGTCAATTTACTGTTTGCTATCTTCCTGTGGGAAGTACGTTTTTTCGTTCTTTCTTTCGCGTTTTGTTTCTTTTGGTTTGAGTATCTGCTCTTGTGTGATAAGAAGTTACTCGTTGAAACAGCAACATAGTAGGTATACAAGATTCAGCGTACACTATAAGCCAAATGTGATGAAAAATCTCAAGAAAATCTGACTTTTCTAGGGAGTTGATTTCTGGAGACCTTGCAGAAAGTCCGAGAAGAGATCAAAAACATCTTCATTGAATTCTATGTCATTTTTTACCTATGAGTATCTGATTTAGAATGCATTGAATCGCGAATATCTGAATGTAGTGGAAAGTGACCTCGTGATAAATTCTTATGTTCAGAAAAATCGATGGTTCTCAGCAAGGGAAAGGAATACAAAAAAGGATACGTAACTTTTTCCTAGCCTTATGATGAATAAAATGAAGTAAAAATATCAGCTAAATATCCATACTAGTGAGACCTGAAGCTTTTGCAACACACTCTAGTCGATTGCTTTAGAAAATCGACACCGATTTTGAAGATTCTTGAAAGTGGACATTGATTTTCTATAAATAATTCCCACGACGAACTATGGTCAAGAAGGAAAAAAATTCGAGGTTATTCTAAGTGTGAAAATATTCGCACTTATATTTACCCAAGAATGCAAATTAAAACGATGATTCAAGAAGAAAAAACTTCAGCAATAGTTGACAATAAAAACAACATGCTATAGAACAAATAAAGATTAGAACAATCAAAATCAACGACCACGCACTGCAGAAGCGACTCAATTGACTTTCTCCTAACTTGATTTCAATTACATAGGTCACAAGTACAGTGAATAGTAAGTTTTTTGCCGCAAATCGCAGCTCTACAACCTAAGTAGTTATTGAGATATCGACACAGTTCTTATTGGCTACGATGAGATTCGAAATGATGCTCAACAACTATCTGGTTCGCCAATCGAACCACTGTTAAACTATTTCGAAAAACAATGGTTGTCTGACATCAATTTGGGGAATATTTCAACCACTAATTCTCGTACCAACAATGTATGTGAAGGTAAGAGTAAGATGGAATCTATTTCGAAAGCGATGATTATACTTTTTCATTAAAGGTTATCATAGCAGAATGAACCACCGCATTTTACGTAACCATCCGCACATATGACGGTTTATTCAATTCATGCAAGCTGAAGAAAAAATGTTCAAACAATTATTCTTCAGTGGTCTTCCGGTGCATCGAAAAAACAAAATTTACGAACAACAGGAAAACAAAAACGTATTGATACTCTGTATCAACGATATAATGATGGTGTAATTAATTCTTCTCAACTTTTTACTGGATTATCGTATCTCGTGGGAAATAAAATATAGTTATAAACTTTATATCAATAGAACTTTGTTCCTTAATTCACAGGCTTTCAGCATTTTATCTTTGTTATTTGTATAATTTTTTTCTATGATTAAGAACTTTTCAACAAAATAAATATAACGATTTTTCTTCAATCAAAAAAAATTTTCTATACTTTCGACATTTCTATCTTTCGATCATTTTACATTTCGACATTTTATTTTTCGAGGTTTCTATTTTCGGCATTTTGTTGTTTCGACATTTTTTTTCGAAATTATCATCATTCGATCTTCTTATCATTCGATATTTTTTTTGTGAAATTTTTCGACATTTTTACCATTCGACATTTTTTCTTTCGGTCAAATTAGGGTTAACCACGAATTCTTGTTCTAGATTCAAATTTGGCATATTCTACATCGATTACAGAGATGACAGACGATTGTATTACACTGATATGGTTAGACCTTACGTATACAGTGTGCAGTAGAGATGAGAGCGTTCGAACTCATCTTGCTCTATGTAAAGTTGATCGATATCTGATCACATTTCGAGATACACAGAAATGTCTTGATTATATCGCTGAATTAACAGAAGAGAAAGTAATACTGATCATTACCCATGAAACATCCGTCTTCTCTGCTGACAGCATACTTTTACAACGAAACCATAATCTCCAACAAATTGATTCTCTCTATATTATATACTCAACTGAGACAAACAGTAGTGATTTCATGGAGATGTCATCGAAAATTCATCGAATTAGTAGAGCTCAGCTGCAACCATTTTGTGACCAACTAAGCTCAACACCTAGTTTTCAGCAACGTCGTCAACGACCCAGAGAAAGATTTATCCGAAATGATTTTACTCTTACTCCATTGCTGTCACCTCCCTCTCCACTGCCCACTGACTCTACTACTGATTATTCGGTAGTATCACACTCAAATAATACCGTGAAACAACAGGAAGCTGATTTTATGTACGGACAGTTATTTCGAGACATTTTGATTAGACAAGAATCAACGAGGGAAGAAATGATTGAATATTGTCGCCAAAAATACGCTAATAATCAAGCAGATCTCAATATGATCGACGAGTTTAAAGATTATTATGATAAATGTAATGCAATTAAGTGGTATACACGTGATACATTTCTTTATCGTCTTCTTAACAAAGCCTTGCGAGATCAAGAAGTGGATACACTTTATTCAATAAGATACTTTATGAAAGATCTTCATGCTCAGATAGTAGATAAATATGGCCAACAATATTTAATGGCAATTACATTTAATAACGTAGGTACTTCCATACTAACGATTAAGACTGTCTACCGAGGACAGCTTATGACTAATGAAGAATTCGACAAGAAAATTCGATATAATACGGGTGGCTTTTTCTTAGTAAGCAGTTTTTTCTCCACAACAATCAAGAAAGATTTGGCCTGTATTTTTGCTGGTGATGGAAGTCGCAGTACCGAATCATCTGTCTTATTTCAAATCGATATTGATCACCATGTTAAAGAATTCGACTACGCTGATGTAACGAAAGAAAGTGCGTTCGATGATACTGAAGAAGAAGTTCTATTCTCTATGGGGGCTGTGTTTCGAATTTTATCGGTTCATCGCGTTAAGGCAAGTTTTTGGAATGTTCATTAAAGCGGCTGAAAAAAATGAAGAATTCCGAACATTAATTGAACGTATGAAAGAGCCAGCTTTCGACAATTATCCTTTATACAGCTGGGCAAATCTAATGTTCGCAATGGGCAAATATCAGCAAGCTGAACTTATTTATCTTCGAGCACTGAAAGATCAAACAGTCATAAGAACGGTTGAATTACTACCTGCTATCTACAAACAGCTTGGCTCAGTTTACAATGAAATCGGTCAGTACAACAAAGCAATTGAAAATTTTGAGCAGTCTCTTGAAATCAGACTGAAACAACATCCACCAACGCATCTCTTCGTCGTTTCTCTCTATAGTAATCTTGGAAGCGCTTATCAGAATTACAATGATTTGGAGAAGGCGTTAATTTATTATTACAAAGCACTCGAAGTGAAATTGAATCGAGTCAAACCAGATAATAGGGAACTTGCTGCCTTGTATAACAATATTGGTGCGATCTATAAGCAACAACAAAATTATTCAAAAGCCTTTGAAATGTGTGAAAAAGCTTTAAAAACACAAGTAAGAGTGCTTTCAGCTCATCATCAATCACTTATCACGTCCATCGGTATTTTCTCACGTGGTAAAAGTTTTCAACACGATTATAACAAAGCAGTCGAGTATTTACGCAATATTTTTCGAATTCAAGTGAGTTCTTTTGGGCCAATCCAACCAACCAGAACTACAACCCAGGATACGTTAGCTGCAGCACTGTCCTACCATAAAAAGTTCAAAGAATGTTTGGACATCATGAAAACATCGTATGAAATGGAACGGGAAAATTTATTCTCTTGATCATCGAAAAATTACAGAAAATTTCAATGACATTGCTCTGTTGAGAAAACTGCTTGCATAACGCGAAGATACAGTCTAATACTGTTTTTCACCATTTTGTTTATTTTTTTGTTGATTATATCTAAATAAAAATCTATTAAAAAAGACTCCGCCGGATAAAATCGTATGTCTCCCATCTTCCTACATGTTAATATCCATAGATGAGAAGATAGAGCACTAAGTTTTGCACATTTCTGCGTATTTTTTTCAGCTGTGTCGTACATGACGTTTCTCTTTTTCATTGTTTTCACGATGACTGATATGGATATACTCCGCACCTTTACCAGTCTTTTCTTCCTCACTTTTCTCTAAAGATAACAGCCATGCTGTTTAAATTGGTTGTTGTTCTACTGACGCTGCTTTATGGACAGATGGAAAGAAAAATTGGATGAGCTCATACGAGACCTCAATCAACCTCCTTCGGTTGAAATAAAAGAAGATCGATCCAGTTTTATTTCCAAACTTCGAGTCTTAGGATGAAACGCCGATTCTCCGAGCTGCCGCACCTACTTCTCACTCGGATGATCAGCACAAAATATTTAACAGAGTATTTGCTGATTGATGTACATATCCAAGAAGAAGGTGAAGTGATCGTTCATACATATCCTAATGGTCGTGTGGAAGTAAGAGGGATGCTCCAATATTTAAATGGAATACATCAAATTCAATTAAAAATCGAAAATTTTTTGAATATAGAACTTGCATGTCCTACCTACGATATAATTCATCAAGATTTGTCAGACAAACTCCAAGCCGTACCCCGTGTCTTCAGTTGACATTAGAGCCCTGGCCCTACCCTACCCTACAGGGTAGGGTAGGGTGGGGTAAGGGCGCCCTGCACATCTCTAGTCTCCATCTACCATGGCTCAAAATTGTTTCTCTGAATTTAGCTGACGACACATTTGTGTGTCTCCGCAGTATTAACATGGAGCGGCCGATCTCGGATATGGATCGTTTGCCTTATGCAAAGTATACGGAAATGCGGAAAAGATTGGAGACGGAGAAATTAGCTGATACAGAAGTCGACAAGTTGTATGATATCGTTCAAGTAACCGCTGGCCTGTTCGATAAAAATGCCATTCGATACACGATTGAAGGTGGTACGTTACTTGGTGCAGTCCGGAATGGTGACCTCATCAAGCACGACAGCGAGGCCGACTTCGACGTTCTAAAAGATGATCTTGCCAAAATCAAGTCGTTGAATAGCAATTTTGCTGAATACGGTCTCGATATCATTGATGTGCTTGGATGGGGACTACAGATTGCCCATACAAATAGTCTAAGCTTTGCGCCTGGGCTTTGGACTGATTGCATCACTCAGTGGACATTCCTCGATCTCATCGCCATTCGATCGGATGAAACTACAGCAAAACATATACTTGCTCAGGACGTTGCGCCCCAAGACTATCAGACTATTTTTCTCACAAAATCAGACTGCGAGAATCCTTTCGAAAGAGTGCAGTTCGGTCACCTGAAGTTGTGGGCGATTGCAGGTTGCAAAAACCGCCGAGCATATCTCGACCGCCATTAAAAAAATTGGGATAACATGATTCAGATAATATGAATCACCGAACAAATGAATACTTCGAAACCAGGATTTAGTGTCCTTTTCGTCAGGAAGATGGTGGTTATCGACCAAGGAGCAATAACCCGACTACTTTAACAAAGCCATGGCCCCAATCAGCAGCAATAAATACATTTCTGAAGAACTAATTCTGGTGTGACTGTTCTTATCTATTCTTCGAAGAACACTGACTATGAGCAAGTTCGATTGTTTGCCCAAAAACAATACTGACCTTTACACGATTTTTATTTGAAACCTTTACGATACCAGCATTTAGGATATCACCATCTAACAATGCTGCTCATAGATTGTGAAACGTTGTTTCCAATGAAATCCCTCCAAATTGACAGAATTTAAATTACACGTTACGATCTGTGTTACGAGACACTGTACCAGCTATACTCTCCCGCAACCAAGTGAAATGTTAGTCATGACATGGCTCGATAGGTCTGGCTGGGAAGTAGTTGTGGAAAAAAAACCTTGGCTAAACCTTTCCGATGAGCACCCTTAAAAAGATTTGACTGTGCCGCATCTGTTGCGAAAAAGTACAAAAACGAGTGTGGCATCTAAGGCAACACAGGTTGTTATGATACACATGTATCGACGAAGTTCGTACGATGACCACCAACTGGGCGTGAAAATTCGGTCTCTCAGTGAAATCACATGAAATCTAAATGAAAACACTGTTTGGAACTGAACTGCCATTGATTATAGGATTGACAGGCGAATGTAATGCAACATACTGGAGAACACTAAGTCCTGGCTATGTGAGGCTTTTATTATTTGAATGTGAGCATCGTATGGTGACTAAAGATGTATATTTGATGCTAATGACGGAGAAGTCGGCAACAGCAGCCATATTTGTTTTGAATTTCGAAAAATCACTTTTTCCAAGGGAAAAAAACAACACCATACTATACTACAAGGGATTGTCCACTACAGCCCACTACACATCCACTACCGCCCACCACACAACCACTACAGCGCACTACACATCCATTACCGCCCACCACACAACCACTACAGCTAGCTACAGCCCACTATATAACCACTGCAGCCCGCTACACAACCACTGGAGCCCACTACTTATCTACTACACATCCAATACGTCACCACCACAAAGTCACTACGACACCACTACCGTAGTGGAAAAAGTGTAGTGTAGTGTGGTGAAGTGTTGTTTTTTCCCCCTTGACTTTTTCCCTGCAGATGCAGTAGTTCGCATAAAATGTCGGGTGGTGACTTGACACTTGTTCACTTAGCTGGTCTATCCAATTTTGTATGTACAAATAGCCTAAGACGTCCTCTTGTTAATGGTACATATCCCGTTTGGATAACTATGTCGGTTCTTGAGTTATTTGAGATATGTTCATTTCTCTCTGCTGCGAATATGATAAAAAATCAATTTTTTATGGAAAATGATAACCTTTCCGGTGTCTACCCCCCGCTTACCTTATAAAATTTTCTTCTTATTTTAACTTATTCTGATGCAAAGTTTGACGAGCTTTCCGAATATGCCATCGGACTTTTAGTATCTAGTCACCATGAAGAACTAGACCTTAGATATTGATAAAATGTGAGGACAATTTCAGCAGTGCGATAACTTCGACGCCTATGTACGCTCGGCGTGGAAGAGTGGTAGGAAGTTCCGATATAAGGGCTATCGCCGTTTTTGATGCTCTATCGATTGGTGGGTCTTTCATCTAAAACAGCTCAGAAATGACCAAGATAATGCGAAAACACTGAGACGGTCGATTTCTGGCTATTTTAGCACATGGCTCATCAGAAACCAAAATGTCGATGAGGATAACTCCGTTCAGGTCAGCTTCTAAGAGCTAATATTTTGGTCTATGTGCCAACTTTTCATGGGCTTCCAAACGGTATATATAAGAAATCTTCATAAATTAAGACTTTTATATCTTCCCCTCAATAATTTAATTCAAATGGATGGATTTTCAGATTTTGCATGATTTTGTTCTTCCTTTCACGTAAAAAACATCATTTTGTGATGAAAACAAAACGGTATGGTGTTTGGCCATTACTAGGTCCTAGTCAACAACGACGAGATAACGATGATGATGATGGAAAAAGATACAAACGTCAAGAAGCAGATTCACAAAAGTCAGTTATTTCACGTTAATTCTTCTTCATTTTTAACAATGGTATAATTATTTTAGAAATTATTGTTGCTGTTCACTGTGACGGAATTGGGCAGAGGAAGTGCCTTGTGATATAATACATCACTTTATCCGAACTTTGTGAGTGTGTTCATATCTTTTCTATGCAGAATTCAAAGAAGAACAAGTACATGACTTTTTCATTTATCACTACTCGTTCGTTTAAGTTTTGTACAAAAAACACAAAATTTCACCGACTTAAAACTATGTAAAGATTGTAGTTTTGAATATAAAAGTTCAAGACAAACTTCATTTCTAAAATGTTCTAATCGATGTCAAACCAGAACACACCAAGTTTCTTTGACTGATTCTTATTTTAAAATACGTTACTCCAAGTGATTTTCTACTGTCACTTTCCTATTTTTGCTGAAACGTTTAGTTAATCACTAACCACAAAATAGAAAATCTAATTGTTATTTTGCATAGATATGATTATTTTTTGTCTTGAATAAATTATGCCTCGTCATTCCACAAAAGTATGAGTTAGAAAAAACTAAACTTTTATCGACATGCTGGTCTTCGTCTGCCAAGATAGAATAATTACATGTACTAGAATTTCAACTAGAGTTGTATCCTACGAACTACAGATCTTTTTTATTCTCATTTAATGTTTTCCAAGCTTCTTGTAATGCTGGCACTGCCGTTCCACCTGTTTCAGCCAGTAAAGTTGTTCCTGTTCCTGCTGAGGATTGCACAGTGCCATCTGGATTTAACTTTGGATTATTAGCAGCTGACGACATATAAATATTCCATATAGCTCCAGCTACACTTCCAATCATCGGTCGATAATCCAATGGTATAAAGCGAAAGTTAATATATGAAACGAATGGCCAATAACATGATCCAACCAGAAACGTTTCTGGCATATCATTTTTAATTTTTGTTCTAGCGACACGAAGAGAGTGACCTTGCAGAAGGATAATCGATGTGAAGACGAGACTTATATTAATAGGTGCGAGCAATGAATTAGTCAACATTTTCTTTAGAATTTGAATACGTTGTTTACCTGTTCAAAATATAAAAAAACACAAGGAAGAGAAATGATTTTAGTTGGTAAAAAACGAAACAGAATTATTTTTCAAACTATGATAAAACTGAATATACTGTGCCATCATCTATCTAATGCAATTCCGGCTTCAATTATCCCATCATACTTTTAAATGAGGCGGTTTACTTCGAAATATGACTTTTTTGTTAGTCATATCCCGAAAAATTCGAATTTTTTTATGCATAAAGGAAAACACATGTACGTCAGCTAAGATTTTAGAATATCAAGTTTGTTGAATATCTTAGTTTGTACTAACCTGGAAACAATCGCTCAACTGTTCTGGAGAGTATGAACGACCAGGGTGTTGATACAAGGACAGCTGTCGTACACATGATCCGAGATCGTTGACGGTCCCACCATGACAGCATATACGATGACTGCTGTACAATAGTCTTACCATCTGGACCCTTCTTATGACTTTCTATATATTGGCATATAAAATCACCGGCTGTTACACTTGTGCCAATTGCGATCGTTGTGATGATATAAGGTTTGATCAAACCGCGACAACCTATTTAAAAAAAATGATATCTCAAAGTACTATGAAATAATAGCAGAATCGATAATCTGTAAATATACTTTGCAGAGTCTGAGTTGCAATTTTTGTGGTGTTAGTGCCAAAAAAAACCATGATAAAAACGTTACTCGAATGGTATGCAAGGAGAAAATGAAACATGTAAGAAGAAAAGAAAAAAAGAAATAATTTATCGTGTGAACGGGTGGATGAGTGCAAAAACGTACACTGGGCGACATCATATATTTTGTGTTTTTTTCTCTTCTGTTCTGTTCTCATCTATCGCTGCATGTCTCTACATATCGTATCCACGCTTTTCTGTTCTCTTCTTTTTTCTCTCACTAGAACTGCAACAAAAACCGTTTCTTTTCTTCTTAAAAGAAATTTTATTCTTTCTCACGTGTTTTTTTCCGTTATATAGTGTGAAATATATGAAACAGTATTTTTTTCTTTTCTGTGCATGTTTCCGCTCGTTGCCTTTATACACAAATATACTGAAAAATAATGTGAAGAGAGAGAGATGTAGTTACGCAGTTCTACTAACTAAATAACTATGCGCCGAACTACAAAATAATAGGCAATCACATTGCCAGCTATTAGATGAGATAATTTTATGAGTCATAAGTTGTGTCGCGATCCCATATTTAACTCTCGCTTTCTCGTAAAACTAAAATTTCAGAACCGAAGTTGATTTAGCATTGCGATCATAATAATCTGTCTTATATACACAAAAAGATTACGTCATATCGAGAAGTGATGACAAAAAACACTTTTATCGTATATGCATGAGTCACGGGATGTAGTCGGTTTGTAAATAAGTAATAGATTGATGGTAACAGAGTTCACAAAGTTGTAGAAACGTCTTTTATACTATTTTTTTCTCTTATGAGGGAAGGCCCCAACTATCAAATCACTTTCGAACTGAAAATCAGTGGACAATAGGTAATCGAGTGTACCGCACATTTCTGATTAAAATGAGACGCTCCCCAGCTTTACACGACCTTTCTTTGCAAAGTTATAGAATTTACAAGAAAAGCCCTAAATTCCTTTCGTCTTATTTCTGTAGCTTTGAGCGGAAGAGACTGAACATTTAGGGCTTTTCTTGTAAATTCTATAACTTTGCAAAGCAAGGTTGTGTAGAGCTGAGGAGCGTCTCATTTTGATCAGAAATGTGCGGGCTACAATTATACATCATCAAGAAAAGGTTTTGATTATTTTTTAGAGTTTTTGAAGACCTGGTTTTCCAGAAAACCGGCTCAAAAATCCAACGTTGACACAAACGGTCGTCATATTCGGATTCAGCACCCTCGATTACCTATTGTCCACTGAGTTTCAGTTCGAAAGCAATTCGACAGTTGGGGGCCTTCCCTCGTGAGCTGTGCCTATATTAACCAAATCGAGGAACGGAAGATGAATAATTGAATAAAAAGAAAGAACGAAAGAAGAATGCGCAATGGGACGCAATGGGGAAATGTGCAATAGGGACGCTAAGGGTTCACACTATTTTGATATTCGGATCTACAACAATGTGTGCGTGTGTAAATGTATAAATAGAATATGTGTATCTTAAGTGAACGCACAAATTTATTGTGGGGAAGCGAGAGGCTCCAAGAGAAAGCCCCTCCAGGCAGTGAAACTACCTAGTCACAATTTTTTTAAATTCTATTCAAATTAGGTAAATAAAATAGCGAATGCTCTCTATAGGAAGGTTCCGATATAGGACTTCTGAACAGGGTTGGAAAAATGTTTTTCCATCGGGGTATAGCTCAACCTACAAATGATATAACAATGAATTATATACCACATTAATGCTCATCTAAAATAGGATTGATGAGTATAATTGATATTCCGTACGACGATTATTGACTATAGAATTATGAAAGTTTCTATCGGGTGCGTCATAATGAATGAGCCTCTCGGTATTTTCAGTTTTTCTCGTGTTCCTTTAGGCTCTTACGTTTAGTGTTTGTTTTTAAAAGGCGCGCCACGAAATACTCTACAAAAACATACCTACACTTTAATTTTAGAACTTCAGTCAGGAAAACTTACGCAAATTATATGAAAGCTTTGTAAACTCAAAGACCATTTCGTATGTTAACGTTTTGAAAGTATAAAACCTGAATTAGCCATTATGTAACCCTGACTTCGCTCTATCTTTCAACTGCACTTCACATCAAACTCCATAGGAAAATAATACTTGTTCTTTTAGTTGTCACGCATTTTTTCGTTAACTTTTTAATTTTGGATATAGTGGTGCTGTCAGTAAAAGTCCCATGGCTCCATGAAAACAAAAGCTTTTGGATTGGGTTTGTTTTATTTTGATCAGAAATGATTTGCTCTCCACTACCTAACTGCAAAATCGAAGCTGCAATCATTTTTCCATTTCTTGTTTGGGCACATTGTTGAAAACATGTGGTTGTAAATTTCTGATATATTTTTGAAACTTCCCTCTCCACTACACCATCTGCTCGAAAAAAAGAATTTTTACAGACTACAAGAAAGAGCATATTCAAAATACAGAAAGAACTGAGTTCTCACTTTTCGTACACTTTTTTTACGGAAAAATAACTAACTACTCAAGAATAAAAAACATATGTGAAACTTTTCACTTATTTTCACTCTCTTTGTCATTCCCTCATTATATTGTTATTTTTCTCCAAGTACAAGTCATCCGTTATACATTAAGACTGGATATATATTAGAATGACCATGTATCTCTGTTTGATTGTATAAAAATAATTTTAGTCCTGATACCGTGAAATTTCTTTGCATGATCCTGGACATCTCAAGGTTTTACGCTAGACTACCGACAATAGTTGACAGACACGTTGCTTACTTTAGACCTGCAGCCCTAGAAAGGAAAAAACTTACCTTTGTATACGATGTTTGCTAACAGATTATTTGTGGATCGTATCATATGCTATACTCACGTTTAAGAGGAGGCCCCCTCCCACTATATGTATCCTCGAACTATATCAGTCTAAAGAGGACACCTGACCAAATAAAATGGAAAAGGTAGACAATAGTTAATATTAGAATGAAATATAAAAACTGGAGGTTTTGGACGCTTTAAATGATGAGAAAATATGATTTTTCGTTAGGAGGTCTATAATTATGTTACAGGCATTTTCCAGTTTTCTCCATTTCTTCTTTCTTCAAAGAACAAAAGATAAAAGAGAGATACTAGGGCATCAGACAGTACGTAATTAGTCTTACATAGCCGTGCCACTAGCAGATCAATATCATTCCTTATTGTAATAAAATAAACATTTTTTTATGTATATGTTATGGGAGTCTATAATCATGATATACCCTGTACATATATACAGTACAGTAAAAGTGAATACAAACGATAACTTATCTCTTTCTATGAATATATGGTATACATATCGGATAAAACAAAAAGGTTAGACCGTTTGATTTCAACTTTACTGTCTATGGAATAAATAGAGTATCGTGAGGGAAAAAGAGACATCGTTTCAATTTTTTGTCGTACTTTTATTTGTTCTCAGTCAGTTTTGGTCGAAAAAATGAACACGATGGTATTGCTATTGAACATGATGGTAGATTCTTGATTGCATGTTTCAGCGCATAATTGAACTGTTGTTCTATCCTAATAGTTGAACTTTCAGATTTAAAGATTATTGACGCTGAAATTAAGCGTAGTAATTAATATAAATAAAATATAATCAGTTAGGTGATCTTGTTGAGGATAATTGTAGAGAAAGTACAAAACTGCACAGAACATGATTAATACTTTAATCAAATTTATTTTATTGTGATATTTCGACAAGTTCTATTGCCATCATCAGACAATAAAGATTGTTACAAAGTGTCAAAAGAAAGAAAGAAGTATATATAGTAGTAAACATAAAAACAGGAATTTTCTACATTATTCTACAATTTAACAGAAAAGATAAAAAGAAGCTTCTTTTTTGTTCGAAGAACATTGTTTGTTTTAGCCAAAGACTTTTAATTTGTACTTAACCTCATTCAATGCTTTTTCTTAAGAGAAATGTGTGAGAAGACATTCTTTTATGACTCTTCTTTTCCAAAGAGATTCTAGTGCTAAAACTTCACAATTACTAAAGTCCATAGAATGTCCGTTTTCATTACAATGTTGAGCAATTTGAGAAGTAGCTTTATCTTTACGAATATTAGCTTTATGCTCCGCCATTCTAGCAGTTTTTTCTCGATCTGTTTCTCCAATATACTTTTTACCACAATCTTTGCAGTTTATTGAGTAAATAAGTTTCTTCATTTTTCATGTTTCATCCTTTCCTTTCTGAATGGGTAGTAGAACATTTCTCAATGTCGAAAACTTTCAATAGGCTAAGTTTATCGTGAAATTTGGCAAGAGTTTCTGTGCTAGCTTTTTGATTTTTTGTCCTAACTCGATTGTTTCATAGCCATAA